CACTATGAGCGTTGTGGTGTAGAGTTGGCCAAGGGCTTGTGAGGCGGTGGAATGGAATAATGAGTCCAATCTGTGCGCCTAAATTGTTAGGAATTGAAGATCTCCGAGTGAGGTCATTCGTCGGTTTTAAAAGGCTGAAACTTAAGACCTGGTGGATTATGAAACCTTCGGTGGACGTGCTGATATAGTTTCTCAGAACATCAATTGCTTAATTATATATAAATTAAATGCTCTAACTGTTGAAAGTTATCGTGATAGAAATGTGGGTTGGTCGTGGTGTGAAACGCGTCGATTCCCTCAAGTTAGTTCGGTCGCTCCATTTGTCATCAACGTGTCCCCTCATTATTGCGAACGAGCATCCTGGAATATCACGAAGTGTTGTAAAACTTACCTTGTTCTCAATATTTGCGCATCCGAGACGAGCCCTGTTTCACATATTTGAGCTGCAAATACATACGCGTACGCCGTACACGACAACGACACCAATTTGTTTGAGCTCCGACGTAAACAGTCCTCACCGTTGGGGCCTTCAGGATAACGTAATCGGACCAGATTTAACTCAGTGGCCCCAGCGTGGTTTGAACTCACAAGGCGGGTGATTTTGTCGTTTGCCAATCGTGAGTTTCGGTAGTTGTAAGTGTCATCTGGGTCGCAAAATATCTGGCACGACTTCAATCAGTTTTAGCGTACATTAGGAATCAAGCATAGCCAACGGGCTGTCCTTCAGCTTCACGTGTCAGAAGTGACTAGATCATTTTAACGGTTTCGTCAAGTTAACGATTATGTGAGAACTGTCGTACGTGTAAGTCCTAGAAAGGGTGTTCACTAGTAAGAGGATGTCGGTTTTAGATCAATTTCACAGTCATGGAAAAGAGTTTGCTAGATTTTTATTGACGTGAGCTATCAGGTAGGATAGGCAAAACGAAGATGTTGAATGTCACAAATTTGAGTTAGACTGTGGTTATGTTGTGCAATATTTTACGGCCTCTCCTGTTAACACACCGTAATATCCAGAGAACAAACAAAGGAGGGCGATAGCTGATGCAACCAATTTCAATTTACCGGTAAGTAAATGCGAGTGGGGGAAGCCTGTTCAGGGGTCGGTCTGGTGCCACCGTCAACCGCTCACCGTTCACAGCTGTCAGTCACTCTCACGCACTTCCATTAAAACGCACACCTCTCTGGCCTGACGCTAATGCATAGTCGTATCCTCTGTCTTGCCATCGTTCTCGGGTTGTTACGGCTATTAACTAAAAGGGTTGCAAGGCAGTTTATGCTAACTTCTGCTGTCTATTCGCCTACAGTCCAGCCAAGGGTACTTGAGCACGGTGACATAATGCGTGCGAACAGCATTTGAATGCCAGGTGATCGGCAGTGGTGCGAAAGTGTTTGCTTTCAAAAGTCGGTTTAAATCCTGAAACAAATGAGGTGTAAATTGTGCACCCCCACCGAAAGCAATAGAACTGGAAACACCGAAATGACGGCGCCCATTATTTTGTAAGTGCGCGAGCGACAGTCTCAGTTGCACCGGCTTTACTGGGAAATGTCCTGATTGCGAAATGTACCGGAAAACTTTGCTGCGCTGACATTGGATACGAGGTTTAGCCCATTAATAATCACCTTTGAGGACGTTACGCATAAACCAAACGGTCTGTTACCAAACGAGAAGTAGTATGAATCCCAGGGAGTGAAAGCAAAGGAGGATACTCAGATATTTGCATTTAAATTGGGAAGAAACAAAGTTAAGGTATCTTTCAAGTGGCATACTGGATGTGTTTTTCGTGGAAAAGTTGTACAGGGGTAAATATTTCAGATTTAGACTAGAATTTTGTTGAATTTGTCATAAGGCCAGGTTACTAGCATGAACTGCCTCTAGCTCCAAAATGTGAACATGTGTTCGAGAGTGTACATTGGCTGTGACGCTGTCAGATCCATTAACATAGCGAATAAAGGTTATAATTAGCGAAACACAGTCATAATAAGTGCTTTCGCGTTAGGAATACCGATTAGATGCTGTACGAAGAGCATATTTCAATGCTTACGACCGGTAAAAATTGTGAACTCGTCCTTCCGTATGACGGATTTGTTTCACAACAAGGTAAATCGCCAAAAGTGTTCTTAAGACTGTGTCGTAATGCGTCTGAGTCGGTTGAGGCATTCGACGAAGGATCGATAGTAGCTCAATGCGTCCCTCCAGCACGTGCTGTAGGATTGCTTCTGTCTTTGTCCTGGGACCTGATACCGTCTGCATTAATGTGGTGTCCGAAATCCCTTACACTCCCTGGTCGAAAAATCTGTTTTCAGAAGGTACTGTAATTCCACAAGCTATGAGACGAGTGAACTCTTGCACCAAGTGTTCGTCGATGTATTCTTTGATAAAGGGAACATAATTAATATAAAGAATATGCCATCCAAGGACCACGTAGAAATTGTTCTATGAAGCTGAAGGTTCCTCGATGCTTTACTTAAACCTAAACACATTCGGAAAACTTAACCCGAACAGAGTGAAACCGGCAAATTCTGACATGTCCGTAGGAGAAACGGGTATATAATGATCAGTGGGGACAAGCTCTAGTCTTGAAAAGAATCAAGCACCGTCTAAGCCCGGGGAAATGTGGTGGATGTGTGAAATGGAGCGTTGATCAGGATATTTGACGTTAATCAGAACCTTGTATTTGCCTCAGGATTCCGGGTCTCTAAATTTCGAAATGAAAATGTGCAAATAGATTTCCAAATGGGTGTTGGAACATCGAGATATGCTTAGGAGCCACTATTTGTCAAATTCTATCGTAGTTAATCCGAGTGTATCAGATGAAAGTCTTCTGGCCTTAGCAATCGATGATACATCTGTTACAATGTAACACGTCACTTTGGTATAGGTTCACTCTGTGTATGGACCACCTTGACGATTTCGAAAAAATCTTTCGAGCAATGCCAAACGGGATCTTATAGAATTTTTGATGGAGGATATCTCGCTCAACTAGAGTGGCATAGTTGTGGATGAGCTTGCGTTGTGTGATTTCGCCTTTAAGGTCAAATTAAGAAAAAAATCCGAAGCAAGACTTTGTTTCGCAAATTACCACCACTGACCACTTTGAAGATCGGACTGACAATTTCATGGCCAGCGCGCTTTGACGAGCACAAATTTTGGAATTTTTCAGGTTCTGGCATTGATTTTGAATAGTTAGCTGCAACGTGGACTATTCACTATTTACGACATTATGAGCTCGTGTCAGATGTTCTGGTTTCCAGCTCGACGAGTTGAAGTTCTCAAGGCATATGCAAAAAACAATTTAGTAAACTGAAGATTGAAAAAAAGACATGTTGGTTAGTGGATAGTTTAATTGATGGGCATGCAGTTGCAGGAGATTAGTTGATCACAAGCATTTTCACCAATCGCTAGATTGAGGTTGCACAATCGGTGATGTAGTTAATTGTATGTGTATTCCATCTGTCGTACTTCAAAGGTACTGACTTGAAATGGTGAATTACCACCAGAAGCTTAAAACCATATTCATTTCATGTGTCAGACGCTGCAATTTTTAGTATGCATACAGCTATGCCAAAAAAATCCAATGTATAAAAGGACACCGAAGTGTTCATCTTGGACTCACGCATGATGTTTCTCAGGCAATATTCTTTCAATTAATGTTATTCTGCATTATGTGCATTGAAAAACCATCCAGAAGAAAAATTAATATAATAGATCTGTTTGGTAGCATTGATGGTGTGCAGAGCTGGAACTTTGAAGGATGAGTTAAAAATCACCCCCATGTTACTATAAAAAATAAATTGAGCTACTAGGGTGGTTAGTTTTATAAACATTGCTGGTATATTTAATATTTTGTTTATCTTACTTTTGATAGTGTGGCACGAAATTGCAGGGGGGCGCGGTTGTGCCAGTTCGCTAGTGTCGTCATTGGTCTACTCTCGTGTATAAGTGCCGCAAGTTTTATATCACTTTTAGTGTAATCAACTTGAACAAACTTTGTGGGGTCAAAATGGCCATAGCTTTAAAGGTTTGTCTTAATGTAGTATTGTTGTTTGCTCTTATGTCAATGTGGTTGTGGCTCGTGTTTGACGCCTTTACTTACATGTCAACAGGTTGGAATTATTGGCGGATCAGGATTAGACGATCCGGATATTTTGGAAAATCGGAAGGATAGATATGTTACTACACCGTTTGGCGAACCTTCAGATGCCCTCATCGAAGGCACAATTTCTGGTGTCCCTTGCATACTGCTAGCGAGGTAGTAAGCTTATCTGTCTTTCCGTTGTACCGTTCTCCTTAAATTGATGCGTGGCAGATGTGATTGTTAGAGTCGTAGTTGCAGCCTATGTTTGCATTTGGTTGGCGGTATTATACACTTTTGATTAAGTTTGCCTATGATGTTTGTACTTACACATTTCCCATAATCGCCTACCGTTTTTCTGCAACGTACTTCCTGTAGTGTGTTAACGTGTGGATCAATGCTTAGCATAAGTAGGTAATATTGCAAAAATTGGTGGATCACTTGCCAATTTACGCCCATGCAAGTCGTTGAATTTTACTCCTCGTACATGAGGTTTTTGATTATTGATGTACATTTGTTACAATAGACACGGTCGTCGACACAACATTATGCCTGGAAATGTCAACTTTCGTGCAAACGTTTGGGCACTTAAGGAGTCTGGGTGCACACACATTCTGGCGTCAAATGCTTGCGGAGGCTTGCAGGAGCACACACACCCTGGAGATATTGTTGTATTGAACCAGTTATTCGATCGCACCCACAATCGAAAGCAGACTTTTTATGATGGTGAACCCGGGCACCCAGTAGGTGTCGTCCATCTCTCAGCCGCCGACCCGTACTGCGAAGAGACACGCAAGGTTCGTGGAATCCCCTAATAGTTAAGACCAAACTGCATTTTACGTGCCTGGTCAGCCTAGGTACCCTAAATGCGTAATATTGCCTTATATTGTCAAATTCTTTAGGTTTTGATCGAAGCCGCACGCAAGTTCATACCAAGCATCTACACTCCAGGCCAGGTTCGTTCCGAACACGATGAGCCACATTTGCATACGACTGGTAGTTGCGTGACAATTGAGGGGCCAAGATTCTCGAGCCGTTGTGAATCAGAAATGTTCCACTCCTGGGGCATCGATGTTATAAATATGACCAACGTGCCTGAAGTTATTCTTGCCAAAGAAGCTGGTTTGTCGTATGCCACTTTGGCTATTGTGACAGATTATTGTGCTTGGCGAAAAACCAGGGAAGGCGTAAGTTTTACTTTCTTGCTTCTGACCTTTCGTACCACAAACTCCTGGAGCACAGTTTAGTCGAGAGTCAAGATACCAGGCAACTGACAGCAGGCATCTTTCGTTTGTGCTCTTAGTACTGACAGCACTAAGTTTCTAGTCGTTAGTGGAAGAGTGCACCGCGGAAGTTCTAACTACCGTCGGCTTTGCCTCTCAAAACTTGCGGATACCAAAAAGTTATCCTCAAGGTGTCAAATCACAAAAGGGAACCTAATCAAATCAGGTTCAGGTTAGGCTGGATGTATTCCGAAAGCACGCGTAGGAGGAGCTCTTCTTCGGATTGCGCAAGTTCGGCGCCACTTCTACTTCATTCGCCGTGGTCTCATATCCACGATATTTTTTCCACGAAGCCAACGTTTCTACTTAAACTCAATTTGTCGATAATTGGAGTATTTTACGATCTCTCGCTTCGGGTTTCACAGTCCCAAATGTTAATGCGGGGTTTTCCAGTTGTTTAATTATTTTTTCCACTACTTAAAGGTAACAGTGTTACTTCAATGTTGACCTTTGAAAATTGAACGCATCGAAGGTTATCATGCTCAGCCAGAACCGACCTCGAGGTCTGTTCAGAGAGTGTTAGTCCATGTGCTTAATACTCTTGCTGTGGAGTGGTTAGCCTGGAGAGGCCTTTTGAGAGTCTGATCCGTTCCTTACTTGATCATAGTGATTAGATCCCATACGATATTAAACGTATTTCAGCAGGGTGCAAATTCGGCGAAACATTGTGGCCTAAGTCTCGGTCCCCGATGTCACAGCCATGTTCTGCAAATGATTGTTATCGTACGCACATGGCCTCGATTGTGGCGTATCGTATTACCCTTCTATTACTCCTCCAGGTGAACGTGGAGGAAGTTGTGAAGAATTTCAAGAAGAGTGCAAACACCGTCAAGGGCATTCTAATCGAAGCTATCAAGCTACTCAGCACCAGAGACTGGACTGACGTAGTTACTGCTAACCGGGTGAGACCATTTATTTCGCATTGAAGACTTGTTAAATTCTTAGAGGAAAATAGGTGTAGTCGCAAAACCACCACTTTGGTGTCATGCTTTTAGACTCACTTTTAAGCTAGTATTTTCTGGACAACTGAGTCGTGTAAAACGTCTTGCTCTTTTAGAATAGTCTCACTAGGGTTTTGTGTTGATCAGTAAAAGTAGCTAAGATATTATGTGAAGTGCTTTAGAAGTTTTTTTTTCACCTCTTAGGCCCTCGCGGAGAACTCCCGTCAAGATATCCACTAATCGTGAAATTTGACTATCGAAACTTGATTAAATTTGTAATTGTAGTCTGTGTTGTAATTTTGACTACTCATTCATCAGTGATGATGAGTTTGCCAATGCTTGGACGTAGAAATAAAACTCGTTGGCTATTCGGCTTTCCAGTCTTGTAGGCAAGAACTTATTGGAAAAAGCTTAACCCCAACTTTAACGTGAATACAAATTCAACTGTAACTGATTAAGAGCCTTGTTTTGTTTGTGCGTGAAATGCGCACAAAAGGGAAACTGCGCGAGGGACGGCCGTTTACGACCCCAGTTCACAGGTGTGCCGTGGCGTCAGTAGGTGTGCAGGATCGTGTATGGGTGGATAAGTGAGAGCGGGTGGGGTTGCTCTCACGTGCGTGCGTAAACGGTGAGGACGCCGAGACAGAGGCTTGAGTGGACGCGTAGGGTATCGTATGCGGGTGAATCGCCCGTATCTCAACTTTCGTGAATTAACATGAATCACTGAAGATTCTTACCCTTGTGACGGCCGTGATTTGTGAGACTAATAGGCAACAGGTAGTTTCCCAGGTTGATATACTGGTTTTGGGCGACTGGTCCTCTTACGGTGACGGTTGTACGTGACACGATTAGCCGAAGAGCCACTTGAGCTAAGTTTATGTCACGTGACGGGCCTGTGCGAATAGCTTGCTTTTGACCAGCCATATAAATTATGTAGAAATGACCGCATTTTGTGTACGGCCTGTAATAAAACCTTTGGACGGTTGCGCTGTGTTGTTGGATTGACGGCTGAATGGTTGAGGGTCCCCCACGCGACTGCCTTTAGTCTGCCACTGATTGCTTGTTGTTGTACGTACTTTAATGCACATTGTGTCACTTGTTGAGTGTGTTCGTGGTAATCGCAGCAATATCTCCGTCTGTGCCAGTTCAGACTATTTGTCTCGTGAATTCATGCGTGTTAAACCTCTAATCCGGTCTGCCAAACAGATCGTGACGGTTTGCGCAGGTCTGCGATCAACCAGCCTTGTAATGTGAGGAGAAGGAAAAATTCATGAATTCAGTGCGTGATATTTGGATCCGTACTATGCTCTAATGTGTGGTTTCCTGCGTGAGATCTTTTTGACGTCGCCACTCCACTTTATTAGGCCTTCTTCACACTTCGTTTGTCGCGACATTTCTTTTTACGCCTGCACGTAGAATTCCACAAGTACGCAAAACCGCCTTTGAAGGCGGCTTGGTCTTCTCCTATTAGTGGGCTGACAGAACACACGGAGTTAATCCTTTTGCCTTCTCATACGTTGGAACGTATTTAATCGCAGTGTTGTGTATTTCGGCAATGCAACCAACTGCGTTGTGTACTTGATAACACAATTTCCTATAATTATAGCCGGCAAGTCAAATTTGTTATGGTAGTGAAGAATGATTTTTAGACAGCTGGTTAACTTGTGTTGAATAAAATGGCTGGTGTCTCTCTGTTTCTTATAGGCAAGGAAGTCAATGAGGAAATGTGGTGGTGTTCTAAGTGCAGTTATCTTTATTTTATACTCCCCCTCATTCTACGTTGTGTTGATATCTCACGTCGCTTACTACAAAGAAAAAACCTTCTACCAAATGCCTCGCACATTCATCTCAATCCGAAACTAATTCAGTCGATTCAAAAATGCAGTGGCATGTCTTACTTCAGTGTTGCGATGGCTGCAATTACAATGTACACAGTGACCGGTGGTCAGTTGTTTGGCGGAGCTACTGTAAACATGCCCCCTTGAAACCGTAACGGTCTCCGCTGGGGCGTCGTGAGTGACAGATGGATGCAGGCGCTTCGTGCACATTCATTTTCAACATCAAAGCGGCCATCGTTGGATCGGAAAAACATTCCGTCCAAACAAGCAACTGTCAAATATTGAGGGTGGATATCGAGTTGCTTATGGTCATCTACGACTACAGTTTGTAAGAAAAATATGCGACCTGGCTCGGTTGGCAGAGCAGCTGCATTGTGATTTACGTGATGTGAATTTTCTTGTGACATTTACTGTGTTACAACTCTGTATTTGCCCGTTTTAGGCAGAACTCCGTGTCAGACCAACCCAATACGTTATGCTTCTGAGCTTATTTTTTGTTGCGTTGTACGTATCACTGTTTGATGTTTTTAGGATGACAATTAAGCCTTTCACTGTTTCAATGCAATTAGTGGACGAGTAAAACCAAGTTCTAGGAAACGGATAGCCCGTTTCATTTTGCGGGAATGCCGCTTCTTATGTTGTTCATTCTAATAATAAAAGTGTTGGAAGATTTGTGGCCTGTAATTTACTTGGTGCTTACCACTTTCTCGAGTTTTAACATTGAATTCGTTTGGATTTAGGATATTGTGATAATTTGAGTTTTTATTCTGAGTTTTTCTGCACATTGTCATAGCCTGGGGAGCTCTTATTTTACATTGGTAGAAAGTCCACGCCCTTGTGGTGACGCGACAGGTACAACGAAGTAGACCCCCCACCACCTCCAAGACCTCTTTTCGTCTATCATTGCGTTGGTCTCATAAGAGAATTGGCAGACCGAGAATTCGTTACAAGAGCAGGCTAAGCATGGCGTTGGTGTGTTGTGTAGCATCGGTTGGAGTGCTTTCCGGATTCGGCCTGATGACCTGGGCTTCAGTAATGCTGGTAGTTGCAGAGAGAAGTGGAGTTTGCTTGCGTGGTCAGAGTCATCGGGCTGACCAGATCAAGTATTGCCTAAGCTCTCACAAGTAATACGTCTCCTCAATCGCCTCTGTGCTGAGTGGGCAGGTGTCAAGCCAATTTCCCAGGCGACATTTTAACAGT